CATTCAAACGTTTTTAAGCATAACTAAGGTTCCATACTCCAGATCTAGCCTTCCAAGGCTGAAATACCACATAAAGCTGCAAGAATTACGTTCATGCATGGCAACTAGGGCTAGGTTCACCAACCCAAAGCTCAATAAACGGTTTAATACAAGAAAGTTGGCCAATAGCTTGATTAAGATTGAATCTTTAGTCCCAAGGGACCTCATACTGTCCAGATCTGAAGTCTCATTTTCAAAGCATGCTCAAACAACTAAGGGACTCAAAGAGATGATGGAAATGGCCATAAAATCCCTATAGAAGAGATTTAACAAACAAATGGTCAATGTATTAGCTTTTTACCTACAGCTAACACTGAAAGAATACTGGATCCAAGGGCTCCTTCTCGTTCCACGCCTTTTGCTCCTCCAACTCCTTCAAATAATGCACCAAATCACACACTTTTATCCTCTCTCTCTCTCTCTCTCTCACACACACACACAGATGATACCAGCTCATTTATGTTTTCTCTTAGGGTGCTAAAATGATCAAGGAGGCGGAATGAAGGGCTTAAGGCTCTTTAAATAGGGTGAAAACCCTGAAAATTATGGTTTCCACACTTGGCTCCTACTCGTCGAGTTGGGGTCCTCCAACTCGTCGAGTAGACTCTGAAAATCATGAGGCTTCTCCATCTCTACTCGACGAGTTGGGGCCTCCAACTCGTCGAGTTGCCCTGCCAAAATGAACATAATAAATTAAATATTATACCTAGGAGTTGAGATGTTACAATTCCTCCCCACTAGAATCAGACTTCGCCCTCAAAGTCGTTTCCTAGAAACGACTATGGGTACTGCTCACGCATATCAGACTCCGGCTCCCAAGTCCACCCGGATCCCTTCCGATGCTGCCACTGAACCTTAACAAAATACACCTCTTTATTCCTCAAGACCTTCACCTTCTTACCCAAAATCGTCACTGGCTTCTCAATGTGGTTCAGGAGATCATCCACTTGAATGTCATCTAAAGCGACCACTACCGTCTCATCAGCTATACACTTCCTTAGCTGGGACACGTTGAAGGTGTTATGAATCTAGCTCAACTCTGAAGGCAGCTCTAACCGATAAGCTACCTTACCCACTCGAGCAATCACCCAGAAAGGACCATTGTATCTAGGGCCCAACTTGCTCCGATTCCTGAATTGGATCACCCCTTCCATGGGGATACCTTCAGGAGGACAAATCACCGACCTGAAACTCTAGCTCGGATCGTCTCCGGTATGCATAACTCCTCTGACGACTATGGGCCGTTAACAACCTCTGTCTAATCTACTGGATCTGCTCTGTCATCTTAAGCACTATCTAAGTGCTTCCCATCACTCTCAACCCTACCTCTCCCAACAAATATGATTTTGGCACCTCCTCCCGTACAAAAGCTCAAAGGGATGCATCCCAATACTAGAGTGATGGCTGTTGTTGTATGAAAAATCAGCCAAGGGCAAGTAAGTGTCCCAACTTTCACCCGAATTCCATAACATTGTTGGGTTACCTACGCATCAAATACACTCTAAAACTAGGCAGCGAAAATAATCGAAACAATGATATACCTATGTGTACATGCAACCTGTGGATCTATGGATTAATGCTAATTACATCAACCCCAGAAAACAAAAACAAAAGTAAGAAAACATACCTCTTATGCTGCCCTTAATCTCCATGCTTGAGATCTCGAACCTCCATAAAGTTGCTTGGATGAAAGGACCCAAACCAGAATCCCTCTAATGGTATCACACCCAATGACACAAAAGAGTAGAATAAAAATAACTAGGAGAAGGGTCAATTTCACAAACCCAAAGGGGTTAGAAATCGTCCCTATGGGAAGACGAAGAAGGGTTGGCGAATACTTCAAGCCAAGTTTCAAGGAGGAATGAAATCCCTAAGGCCCTATTTATAGCCTTGGATGCCTCCTAGGGTTTAGTACTCCTTCCCATGTGGGATGGAGGCCCAACCACGAAATTTCACTCTTTTCCCATGTGGGATGGAGTGATTTTCATCCAACCCTAACTCCATAAGGGTTCTGGAACATTCCTGATTAACCAACCATCGATTAATGAACATTCAACCCTTTAATTAATTAAACTATTAATTAATTCCCATAATATATTTCCAATTAGTTTCTAATTAATTATTAACCATAATAATTAATAAACCAATTTTTCCTTTATTTATTCTACTCAATTTGGGTCTTGAGGCAACCGAAAAGGACCCTGCTATTATTAGAAATATTCCGAATAGTTAATGACATTGGACACTATTCCAACAGTCTCCCACTTGGACAAGTCATCAACTATATGAGGAGAAATACTTCTCCAATAATCAACAGAGAGTTAGTCATCCAATGCAACTACCGAACTCTTGATCTAATCAAGATTCAGCCCTTAGATAAGTGATCAATGATCCCTTTGTTCTATGATATCTGTATGAGTTCGAGACATGGATAATGGTCAATCTCAATAATTCAAGATTATGTTTCCCGATATAGATTTTTGACGACTGCATTTGACTACTAAATTGAACACATCAGTTCCAGTCAGGGCTCGGCCAAACACTTTAGATGTCAACACCAAATCATCGAGGGGCCCATAGATATCGCTTCTCCTATTAAGGAAGAAGGAACGAATAAACTTCGACTGCATAGTTTCTGTCTATTTCATCATGTCACACATGGACATACCCTTTATAACTACCAGTTACGGTTCGCGTTGGAGTAGACCAATGCATAATAGAATCATAGAGCAAAACCCCACATGTATCTAGGTTTGAAGAATAGAAGATATTATCGTCTTAGAATTACTCGTGACTAGATCCATGAAGTAATCTCTAAGCGTGGGTTGGTCCAATACTTAAATCTCTATTAAGAACTCGCGAGTGTTAGCGCAATCACTATGCTATGTCCAATCAATATGGACAATCCACTAATACTCATGATAGTCTTGAATCACTAGTTACTTCCAAAAGTATGACTGACTGTGGATGTTTGAGTAAATTAATACTCGGGTAGTGGGTTCCAAACATGCAAAAGTGAGAACGTAGTGACAGGTTAATTGAAATGACCGAAATCCATCATATATTAATATCACCAATTAATAATCGCCAAATCAAATTAAAAATTATACCGCTTAAAGTTCTCAGGTTTTAAAACAAACCAAACTAGGAGTGCTTAAGCCAATTCATTTGCAAATTTAACGCCTCTCGACTTTGTCTGACTATCAGACTTGGTTTGTGACATTAGCTTAAGGAATGGATCGACAAGATTATCTTTCGACATGAATCAATGAATATGATGTCTTTACATTTGAATCACTATCAAATGTGTTGGTACTTACTGAGTATGTTTCATGTGAGCTGGTGTGGCTTGGGATCCATACTCGAGGTAAGTTCACCCAAAGCCACAAGAAACTTCATAAGGACCATCAATGATTGAATTTCAACAAAGATGTCACTAATGAATCTCTTTTAGTCACATTTTCTTATTTGCAATTTAACCAACTACAATATACTCCAAGTATGTTAAATCCACTATGGTGTATTACTTGGTACTCTTTCAAGCTAATATATCACCATTTAGTAAAAGCACAAATTCCAACTATGAACGAAATTGCCTTTATTAGTATGGAACTCAACATCAATGTAACTCTTACAATGATCTCTTCCATACTATTAGGATGATCTTTTCTGTCTGCCAAGGATACTCAAGAATGTTCTTGATCTTGATTCGTTGATTCTTGCCTAATTGATCTAATCTCACTTGTCATGCTCAAGACATACGAGTCGTTAGATCTGGTACATGCCATGACATATATGATCGATCCCATAGCAGAAGCATGTGGGACACGCCTCATAACCTCTAGTAGAACTAGGACATTAGCATCGCTCAATGTGATGCCATTTTTCACTAAGAACGAACCTTTCCAAGTTCTGCATGTCGAGTTTCCTCAGGATTTCATGTACTTTGGCTTAATCAAACGAATCACTTTGATCTATCTCCATGGATACTTATTATCTACGTGTGTTGTATCTCCCATGTATATCATAGCGAAACTATTCCGATACAAAGCCAAGATTTCTACACTTGCTAAGTTAGAATATAGTTTCCTATGAATCGTACATAATCGATGTACAATACAAGAGTGACTACAATGCTCCCACTAGCACTGACATATATATATATATATATATATATATATATATATATATATATATATATATATAAATATATATGTTTCTCGAAATTCAAACTCCTTAAAATTTCTCATCGAAACAAGGATTCTAATTACTCCCACTAGCTTTGACATATATATGGCTTATCTTTATTTCTCGAAATTCAAACTCTTTGAACTTTCTCATTGACACTACTAGAAAAACAAACTTTTACGATGCTCATTGTGCGTCGTAAAAGGCTCAGACGACCCGCAAATGCGCGTCAAGGAAGGCCCTATCATAAAGAGAGACGACACGCATTTACAACGCGCATTTACGACGTGCAATTATGAAGTGCGTTTACGACACACAATGCATATCAAGGAAGGCCCTGTCATAAAGGAAGACGACACGCATTCGCGTGTCGTAACCTTATGACGCGCGTGTTAATGACATGCAATGCGTATCAAGAAAGCCCCTGTCAAGAAAGGTCATGTCATAAATGAAGATGACACACATTTTTGCGTATCATAATTTAAATGTTTAAAAAAATATTATTTATAGATTTACTTATTTTCAAATTAAATTTGTATTTAATGTTTCATACTAGAAAATAAAATATCATATACAAAAAATAGAATCCACTACATAAATTTAATGTCATACAATTCTATTTCTTACAATATATAAATTTGCATCTAATCTACTATGTACATCAAATTCCAACTAAGTGAAGTTGCATCTTGCCTTTCATAATTCTTTAAGACTAATGCTCCAAACAGCTGATTATATGGATAAGCAGTTGTACATTAGCCCATCTCACTCAATCATGACTTAGCCAAATTCAACTCCAAGTCTTTATTGCATCTTGCTGATAATGGTGCAAGATTTAAATCAAGTGGCTTCATATTCCTTTCTTCCATCAACTTTACCTGATGCACAAAATACACAGAAACAAAAAAACACACAAAAATGATTAATGACTAATACAATGTATGCACAAATCCTAACTAAATTGACTTTATTTACCCCTTTGCAGATTTTAACTACTAATACTAATTTGTTATTGCTAAAAAGAAAAAGAAAAAGAAAAAAAGTCACCTATTCTTTTAATTATGGAATATTTAAACATGTAGTCAAAATCCCAAGAGCAACATCCATTGTAGAGGCACGTTCATTTTCAAAATTTCTTTGTCTATCAGGACGTGCAACTATTTTGTAATTAAAAACTTCCTATTTTAAAGCATAATAATAGATTATTAGCAACTCCAGAAACCAATTTAATAATAATATAGATAAGCTTCTGGTGAATTTTAAAACCTCAGGTAAGACTCTGAGTAGTTCTAGGAAACTTGGAACGATATCAGGATTTGAGTTCATCTCCCCAATCTTCAACAAGAACTTCAACAGTCAATGCAGCAACAACAAGACTCTTCAGCTAAGTCCTTTGTATAAAGAAAATACATGTCAGTTTAAATATTTTTGGAAAATGACAAAAAAGAAAGGGAATACTGAATACCTTGACAGCATCAACATTTTTTGCTTCATATCAGCATCAACATTGTAAGAAGTGATTGGGACAACTAGGCTCTGTTTCAACCATCGGGACAATTAGGCTCTGTTTCAACCATTTGGTTTTGGTGTAATTTCATCTGAGGTATGCAAATTAAATATTAAATATAAAATATAAAGTATAAAGTATAATATATAACCCTAGAAATGAATCAAAAAAGTTACTAATTACTCTCACTTTGAGAAATTTTTCAGAGACAGGTCCATCATTTTCAGCCATTGACAATTCCTGGACAACTTTTTCAAGTCCTTTGCTAATTGCTGCTGGGAAATTTAGAATAGAACTGGAATTTCTACAGAAATTAAGAATTTATAAAAGGGGAAAAAGGGGAGTTGGGAAATACCTTGTCATCATCTTGTAACAATTTATATATTCTTGCCCATAGCCCCGCCTTTCCATGAGCTGCAATCAAAGTCATAATTATGGTTATGCCATTGATTTGAAAGTGGCATATTGTAAAAACTCAGACATGGCTATAATGGAGATAACAGGGATATATATATATATATATATATATATATATATATATATATATATATATATATATATATATATATATATATATATACCTTAAACAAATTAGCTTCCAGATCAGATTGAGAGCTGCAAAAAAACTAATATATGTTAATGTAGTATTTGGAGGATGTAATATGATGACATACACGTCCAGAAGGCTATTATCTATGAGCTTGACCAACACCAAGGGCATTATTGGTAGAAATAATGTTACTATTTGTAGGGTTGATAGGGATAATGTCTCCTCACTTTGTTCATGTACTGAAGCTCCCTGTTGAATATATTATGTTTTTCTATGCATATGGGAACATGGGGAGGCGTCCTATGGGGGTAGATTTTTCATTTGACATACCAGTGACGGAACTGGAGGTGAAGACAAAGCATTTTCATGAAATTTTTTGTTCATATGAATTCCTTCTACATAGGGCAATTAAGCCAACTAACTTGACTAGGTTGACATGGTTTCTAATTGGAACTAGTTTCTAGATGATGAATAGAATATAAATTTAAGTAGGGTTTTGAAGTTTGAACAACATATATGTTGTTACCTTAACAAGTCCAGGTGGACCAATGATAACAAGATCTTCAAGTGCTTCTACTTTGTTGATGCATTCCAAGAAGGGTGTTGCTTCCTTGTTGTACTTGTTGGAATCTCTGCATAAATTTCTCTCTTTGATCTGGTGTTATTTCAGTTCTTCCACGAAATTGTCCTTATTAAAAAAAAGTATTTTAGTTAATGTAGATACAATGTATAGTATAGCAATATATATAGCATACCCCTTCATGTTGAGTTTGGAAGGAACTACCAGGTCTCCACTGAATGCCAGGAACACCAGAAGGTGAAAAGACTCTTGTGCCCATGCCACCTCCCTCACCACCATTTCCATTATCACCATCAGTACTTTTGACACCACTTTGTGGCAACATCATTCTGCTACTCAAAGATGAAACAGGAGGATGCTGCTGAACCATTCTCTCATCTATCCCTAACATAGGCCTCTTATCCATTTCAGAAGCTTGACCAACACCAAAGACATTATTGGTAGAAATAATGTTACTATTCATAGGGTTGATAGGGACAGTAACTGAAGATTGACTTGTCAAACTAGTCAACTGCCCCTCCCGAGATTCCTTAATCCGGATTCACTAAGGGCAGGAGATGATTTACAAACAGGGAATCCTCCGACTTCTTCTTCCTTGTTTATAGGTGAGGAAGGGATGGTGGAGACTGAGACTGAATTGTCTAAAACGCCCCTCACCGGACTTGCACTTGGAGGGACTAAAGATGGGTGAGATTATGAGATGGAGTGGGGACAATAATAGGGGTTGCGTGGCTCCCAGATGGTGTTGGAGGAGATGATGAGATGGTAATGGATTTTGGAGGTGGGTCCGTGGCCCATGCTCTGATATATTTTCTTGAGATAATGCCTCCTCAGTTTGTTCCTGTACTGAAGCTCCCTGTTGAATATATATATTTTCCATAAATCAAAAAGAATACACAAAATCATGTCTTTCTATGCATATGGCAACATGGGGAGGTGTCCTATGTCTTATAATGAAGCTGACAAGGTTATTCCATTTCCTTTTCTTTTCTGTTGTTAACCTTTGAACAATGTTCCGGACATATGAAGAATTATTATACCTTCGGATATGCATCGATCAGTTGTAATCGCTTAAAGTAACAATGTTCCGGACATATGAAGATTATACCATAATGACCTATTCTGTTTAGTATCCTCCAAAGGGCACACTGAAGATGATATGTAATTTTCCTCCAAGATTTTTTTGAACAATGGTGCGATATTGTCAACAATGGTGTGTCCCCAAGGGCAATGCCATGATTTGTTGCAACTCTTTATGTTGGATAAGAAATTGGAACTTGAATCTTCATTTCCTTCTGTAATCAAAAAACATATGCAAATTTTCATAAGAAATACAAATTCATTTAGCAACTTTTTCACTAATCGAATTGAGAAGTATAAACTAAAATGAGGAAGTTTTACCTTTGTTTTGCTCTGTTGGGAACTCCATTATGACCCCTGTCTTGCTTGCTTCTCTTATGACCCTTGAAGTCCAAAGTCAATTCATGAAGTCCAAAATTGATTGCAAGAATGGAACTGTAAGGATGAACAAATGGGGTGATTAAAGGCGACGATGATTTTTCACTGAATTTCTTTATTTCGGGTCTGCTTTTACTTAAGCGCTAATTTATAGAATCGATGGAATACACTTAAACTTTAGCTCTAATTTATGCCAATGGTTTATAGAATTATGAGATGGGAACATAGAAGGAAACACAAATGACCCAAAAAATATTTGAACATGTTGAAAACGATGCCAAAGAAGAAAATACCTTCTGATGGGTGATTTGTGCCAGACGGATAAGAGGTCGTAGAAATTGAGAGAAGGGATCGAGCACATAGAAATTGAGAGAAGATATCGAGTGATCCATGAGCAACCTTTTAGCCAAATAAGGATACCAAGCAGCTCGAAGCCTAGAGCATTAGAATTAGGTGAAACACAATTTTCTTTGGGAAAGTGGCGAAGCCTCAAACCTGCAACACAAATGATTCATAGGTTTTAGGGAATTTCAATTAGATTGTACACATAGGGGTTTTGCTACTAAATTCTGAGAGAGAGAGAGAGAGAGAGAGATAGAGAGATAGAGAGTAACAATTATATCTAAACATAGTCGTTACTTACCAATAACATATTAGAGCTTTAAAACCCTAATCTTGAAGAAATTATGAGGAGTCATTGAAATATGCTTCTACTTTAGTCTTGAGTTTTGCTAGAAGGCAGAAGGAGGTGTTCTCGCTTGTGTGTGTTCCCGGTACGTCTACAGAGACAAAGTTGAGGAAGAGAGACAAATCAATTTATTCAGAAAGCGTGTTAAATTTTTTGAAGAGATGGTGGAAGGAACTGTGAAGTCAAAGAAGAAAATGTTTGGGTGATGTGATCTTATAAACAGGAACTAACATTTTGATAAATGTTAGATTGATACACACAAACCATCTGGAGAATGTTGAAGTGAAAAAACCCTAGTTATCGTGTGGGGGACTTTAGGGTTGTTTTGGGATGCTAAGGGCCAGTAAAGGGAATAAGGGATAATGAGAGAGGATCGAAGGCGGGGGTTTTAATTTTTTGGATTCGATTTACCACCTTGGCTATTAACACGCGCGTTTCATTAAAAATTATAAAATGACATGCTTAAATGACACTCATTTTAAATAAGCGCCCTCAGTGTTTATTTTTCTGACATTAATTGTAGGGCACACATAAATGCGTGACCTCTATCCTTCAAATTTTAGAAGACATGGCATTATTTTTAGGGCGCACGCTTTTGTGTATCGTAAATCACTGTATGTCATTGTTTGCGCGACATAAAGTGTTGTTTTCTAGTAGTGTGAAATAACGATCCATCTTACGAGATGCTTATTTCGGTCCATAAATGAACTTGTTAAGCTTACACATCCTTCAAAACCTATCTTGGTTTAATTATGTGTTTGTTCCTATCCATGATTGTCTCTTATTGAAGATCCACTTGCACTTAAGGGTTAAGGTCAAGTGTTTGATCTACTAAATTATACATGGATTGAATCTCGCTTTCCATTTCCTCCTTCTCTGTTGTAGCCTCTAGGGCCTACCATAGCTTCTGATAGCTGGTACACTCTGATTTCTCCATACCAGTGAATCATTTACCTCATTAATATAAACTCTTATATAACTAGGTTTATGATGTCTTCTATCAGATCTATAAGGAAAAAAGTGTAAATATGTTGGTTTCCTTAATAGATCTTTAAATTCCAAATTGAATGCTATCGCCAACTTTAGGCTCTTCGTTGGTTGACTCTCGAATCTTATCAAGAGCAATGTGGCTCCCACTATCCCTTTTGGAAATCAACTCCCTCTCTTGGAAGACCACCCTTTGAGCAATCTACACTTTGTTCTTAGAAGGATTGTTAAATAGTTATCCAAAATGCTTGATGGGTTCTCCAACAAGTTAACACATCTCTATTCAAAGTTCTAGATTGTCGAGCGCTTCAAGATGAGTGTAAGCCTCATAATCGTAAACTTACATACATGGCAGTGAGGATAGAATCCAACTTCACATATCATAGAGTGTTTCAAGAACCTACTTAGTTGGCACAATACCAAAGGACTTCTTGTAACACTATTCATGGTACAATCCATGAATTGTTAGTGTGCATAATCCGACTCATCTAGTACAAAATCAATGAATGATTTGTTTCTCTATCGAACTAACACTTCCTAGTGGCAGTGTTTGGGTGGAGACAAATCGTGAAACTCTTTCACAATTAATTAGATGATAGATAAAGTTTGGATTAGGATTATCACTATGAGTGGCTCATCCTGTAACGATCGTCTTCCGAGGTATAAATTTATTTAAATTCTCAAGTTTTATTTTGGGCTATAATAGAATTATATATTGGAGTGGGCCTCTTTGTTTTGGGCCAAGTCATAGCCTTCCCATAAGCCGTACGCGGGGTGTAACACTTTGTACGCTGGACGTAATGATTAAATGAAGCATGGGGAGGAGAAGCGTACGCGCAACGTACCATATGGTACGCCCAGAGGGAAAAACCCTAATTTTAGGGGTTTAAGGCTATATAAACCCCATTATAGTCTCCTTCCCTGTTTCCCCATCAGCCTCCTTACTCTCAAGAAAACCCTAATTCGTTCTTATCCTCTCTTTGTGTGTGAAGAAGCTTTTGTGAGTGTTTCAAGGAAAGGAAGTAGTGAAGAAGGAAGGGAAGAAGTTGGAGAAGAAGCTTGAGCTCAGAGATCTAGACTTAGCACCCTCTTGGTCATCAAAGGAAGGTATAAAGTTCTGAACCTTCTTCCTCTTTCCTTCTAGATCTAGGTTATGGAAGTTTGGACCCTTTTAGGTCCAAAGGTTGAGTCTTGATCTTGTAAGTCGGTTTTGGATCTTGGGTTGCCATCCTTAAGGCTCAGAAACATCTTCCTAGCAATAAAGTTTCAATCTTTGTGGCTTATATGGAACCATGCATGAGATCTAGTTAGCTACATGGAAGTAGAATGTTATTTATGGAAGTTTGAGCCTTTATGAGACTTGTAATCCATCAAGTAAGTAACTTTATGGCTTAAGACATGGAACAAGCTTAGGATCTGGATTTGTAGCTTCTGGATCAAATTATTAAGCACTTAATGAGATTTTGGCTTAACAGGGCTGTACGTTGGGCATACAAGGAGGTACGTGCCACGTACAAGCCAACAGCCAGTACGCTCAGCGTACCTTGGTGTACGCCCCGCGTACGCTACCAGTTTGGGCTTCGAGTGTTTTGGGCCTCGGTGTGGGTTGAGTTTCAGGATTAGGGTCCTTGGGCCTTAATGGCCCATCATAATTTAGTTGCTAAGGACCAAGGATTTAGTATTGGGCTTGAGTAAGACCCAATAAAGGGTTTTAGGCCCAATATAGCAAATTGGGCCAATAGTAAGCTTGGAAAGCCTATCTTGTTATTGGACCTCCAAAAATTAGATTTTGGGCCAAGTTTATTGTGGGCTTAGGGCTGTTCACTGCACGGATTAAACCGAATTATCCAATTGGACAATTTGGATTGGACTATTTGATTCGGATATTCGGATTTTTGGATTGGTTTTCAACAAAACCGAATTATTATTTTGGATTTCGGATTGGTTTTGGTTTATAAAATAAGAACCGAATAATCCAAAAAAACCGAATAAATATTTATTATTTATCTATTTATAATATATATCTATAGTTATTTATTAATTTTGTAATTTATTTTTTCAAATAGGTTCAAAACATTTCACCCGATAAAAGAAAAACATTAATATGCATTTTTTCTCAAAAGTTTTCTATCTATAAAATATTTAACTATAATATATATATATATATATATATATATATATATATATATATATCTTCTTATTAGTTGTTTATAAATTTCAAATCACAACTAAATAATTTGTTTTTTGCTTCTTGTGTAAAGTTGGGTAATATTATAATTATATGTCGTGTTAAAAT